CGTCAGGGTTCAAGGTGTCGTCGGCGAATGTGTCTTCGGAATGTGTCATCAGTGTCTGTGTGTCGTCAGGGTCTTTTCTGTTCTCAGCGTGCTTGTCGCCAGACCTTGCTGGTGGGAGGAGGAATGCGTCTTCGGAATCTGTCGTCAGCGCCAGTTCCAAAGTAGCACCCCCTTCTGCGGCTACCCTGTATATAAAAGTAAAGTTTTTCAGCAATTCAGAAATCGTTCATTTCGGAGTTTCCGATAAACGATGTAAAATTAGAAAGTAAAGGTTTTCATACATTCCGAAATTGGTAATTTCCGAATTTTCGCCAAACCAGACATTGAGCAAACAGCGTCCGGCTGCCAGCCAGAAGTGGAACGTTTGTACTTGCATTGGTTGTGAAGAGCATTCATGCAAAGCTGTCCTGACAGCTCGTGTTTGTATTGGTCCCAATGCGAATGCAAAAGCTTCAAGAGCTCTGGTGGTGATCTCAACCTCGAAAACGGACAACCGCCCATCAATCTCCAAACGAAAATCGGTCAAATCAATGCACATTACACCAAGTCACAAGTTGTATATCATCGCCCGGCGGGCCGAATCAATTTTATGCCGGCGATGAGCTGTCATTCGATTATAGTCTGCGATGCAGCGTCCAAGGACATCTCGGAGGGCCGTCTTCACACCGGGGCGAAAAAGTTTTCGCTCGATCGCCACTGCCTGTTCCATGTCACCAGCCATGGATAAGGGACTTGGGCTCATCTTCTCAGCTGTGACGTAGCCGATTCAATGAAACTGGTTCACGGTTCGTTGTGCGGCTTTCATATCAGCTTAGTGTCTGAGCGAATCCAAAAACTGGTGGGCGGGCTGGGTTGTCGAAGTGTTTATAACTGCAGCGTACTGATTCGAAGGACTTCAGCACATGCCGAAGCTGAAGATTTTGCATTTCTTTCTCTCCAAACTCAAGTTCTTTGCAGAAGAGCACTATTGCGATCATGATCAAAACCTTGGTCTGCCCGTCTGTGAATCCAACTGAGTGGTCTTCGACCGCGTGGGAGCCATCTCGATGTGGAAACTTGCACTGAATGCTTTCCATCGAGCATAGATAGCCCTGCTTCAGGAACTCTGGAAAGTGAATGCTGAATTGCTGATTCGAAGGAAAATCTGATCAGGGTGATGCAAATGGTCAAAACATATTTGAGAACTAATGCATGGTAATTATAAACAAACTCATCCAAACTTTGGACCACCGGACAGCCGTTCTTGGCATCTTTGGAGATGTCAAAGCACTTCAAAGGCAAACAGAATTGATCCACATCTGGAATAAGCTGCAAATGAGCTTTCCGAGAGAACGTATTCAATGCAGGGACATAGGTGTCCAAAGCCTTTGAACAACTGAGAACAAAGGCCATTCAGCAACAAATGATTGTCCATTCTCTACATCACTCAATCTTAAGCATCCCACATCATCCAGAACAGAGATATCCTGGACTCGCTCTGAAATATGATCTCCAAGGTTCTTCATGGCGGTCACCTTAGTTGTGCTCAACTCGGCTGCGGCAATGTGCATTTGATCTGAAGCCCACTTGCAGCCAGTTGACCGTTTCAAAATACGCCAGCAGTTGGCCAATGGGATCGCGCTCAGGCGCTTCACCATCAGAAGCTTCATGTGCACTCATGGCTAACCCTCACAACAGCCTGACCTGACAGTCAAAAATACCTGCAAATAAGGTGTTCTTTCACATGTGATGTACGAAGTGAAGCAATTCATGCGCAGCAAACAAATTCTTGAAGTGAAGTCACGGATGCTTTTCATGTTTTTTCAACCCCGACGACCCCATTGCTCTTTCAGTTGGCGCCATCGCCGTTGCGATGGACAATCCCCTATATGTGGCCTTTCGATTCAATCGCGATTGCGATGGAAGACCACTTGCAAACAGTGCGGCTTTGGTGGCACCGGTCGTGCCGCCCATTGGAAATCATGATGGTTCAGCTCTTCCACATTGTTGATATTGTTGAGGAAGGACAAATGTGTTGCTTGACCAACATCTGTATCCTCGGAGCGGGCCAAAAGGGTATCGTACCAATTGATCCCGCGCGTCAGCGAAGGAAAATCCCTCTTCAGTGCCACAGCCAAGCGTTTGATCTCATCCTTCCTCTCCGGTTCAAATCCTGGTTTGGCCAACAAGTCGGAGGATTTGGCCAGCTCCAAAAAGCGCTTCGATTTGCCAAGTAGGGAGCCTGGCAAAACCAAGATAGGTACTTGTGACAAAGTGCTGCTCGAAAGCTCTGACTTCACCAAGCAGAACACATCATCCATTGCCACCTGGTCATCATGGGAACGGAGATGTGTTGGTAGCCGCTCCACTTTTTCAAACTGAACGGGCATCCGTGACCTCTTCATGAAAGTGAAGCAGTGTGGTACCGGGGTTTGAACTTTCGATGCGTCATGCTCATCGTGCTTGCGGACCTTGTAGCAGTTCTTCAGCGTAACATCGTTGGGAACCAAAGACGTCCACTTCCTGACCTTGCATGTGTTCAATAGTCTGAGACTGACTGAGGTTGGGGACAACAACATCAACATCACTTCAAATCACAACCAAACCATGACAGAGTCACTGCTGATACCAGCTCGACTTCAAAGTCTTGATTCCTTGCTGCAAACATCTTTGTCATTCTGTTTTCCAGCACCCTCTTTACATCTGCAGGAGTTTGGATGTCGGCTGCGCACGACAATGCTCTCTTGCAATACGCTAAGCAGCCATCGACATCCTCATGAGTATGTCCGACTTCCAAGTGCCCTTGTGTCGTGCTTTCGAAGGCACATTGAGCTAATGTGCTGCAGATTTTACCACACCACTGGTTCTTCATTTCCTTGACTGTACTATCTGCCTGAATCCACAGCCTGAAGTGGTTTGAGCAGAGCTTACAACCCAGAAACAATAAAGCGATTCAAAACACTCTGCCATTAATTGAATTTTATGAAGTCAGCCAGCCAAGCGACTCCTTTGGGAAGGGCACGTTGCGCCGACGTGTCAACGTGTAAACCTTCTGGAGAGATCTCATGACCTGAATCTTGAGGAGGGGTTTCAATCATATTTGATCTCTCTCTCTCTCTACACCGCAGCTTTCAGCCAAGTAGCACACTCCCACTGCCAGTTGGAGCCAGCACTCTGCCCCTCGTCGCAAATATAGAAGTAGGTAGCAAATCCGTGGCATATGACTGCTGTCAGCGTCAATGAGACTCCTTGGTTCCAGAGCAATTGAGCTGCAATAGTACGACCGCATATCAGTCACCAACAGTTGCAAAACAATGTAAAAACAAACTATAATCTATAATCCAATGAATGTCCAATGATTCAATGCCCTTAAAATGAAACATGTTACATAGAATCTATCCATCACAAGCAAGGTTCTTTTGCACATCTCGTAGACGGCCCGTTTGGGCGATCTTTTAAGAGGAAACACTGGAAGGCATAGCTTACTTTTGTCATAGCTGTCAACGATGAGTGTTAAAAGATCGCCAACCGTCTGGCTCCTTTGACGCGCACACCAGTAGACTTCTCTGTTTTTCCACTGGGATTCATAGTGCTTCATGAGCTGGTAGCAAAGGGTTGAGTGCAAAGAGAACTCCTTGGATGGAGTCAATATGCAACCGGACTCAATATGAGTGATGAAGCCACACTTCAACTCAGCTTGAGACCTTTGCCTCGCGGATTTGTGTCTTCAATGCAGAGCACGTCATACACAAAGAATGTTCAGATGCATGCCTGAAGCGAAGGCAAGCCTTCCAAGACTGCGCAACTGTGTAAAAAGTGCTTCGAGAAGATGAAGGCTGATTGCCATTTCGTGCCCATGCGACATACATCATGTACAAGCCACTGTAAGTGTTTGGAGGCAGCTCCCTCACCGGCAACTTGGAGAGATCCCTTTCCTCAAGGAGGATCTCCCGCGTTGCACCCATCAAATGCCGATCGATCAGAAGTCTGAGCAGCTCGTCATCCGAATCAAAATCAGCATTTTTGTCATCAGTCTCAGCTGACCTGATTTAGAAATCAAATGTTGCCCAATCAATGATAAAATTACAGCGTATCATAGCGTTTTAATTTGTTGTTCTAATTTAGCTTGGCCGCTTTGTCACCATTGTTTCTCCGGCTGTCCAGTAGAGGTGCTCAAAAAATACCATCACATTAGCCGTTTGCATTGCTGGGTGAGCTGAATCAGAACCTCAAACAAAGATCTATAATATATACATATAAACATATTTGGCGTAGTGGCCACTGACCTAAACCCAATGATTGCAGTGCGTGAGCCAAGCTTCGTCGGTTGAGTGTCCTCTCATCAAGACCACGCTGCCGTTTCTTGGTGCGCTGAAGCCTTTGCTTGCCTATGCCCATATAACGTAGCCACGATTCCCTGCACACTTCATGTCCTGCACACTTCATATATCTTACATGCAAGAACTTTATTTCACACCATCATGCCTTATACGAAATCATGGGAAAATGACACATTAAAAGACTAAGACAAACACAAGTCCTTCTATTGTCCATTTTCCTTTCGACCGGAGGTGCTCAATAGGCTCCATAGGACAGCCTCTTGGTTGGCCTTCTCCATCGACCAAAAAGTTCTGCAAATCCGGCGAAGTGTAGACAAAGGCACAACGCAACCACAATCACATGGAGGGGATTTGATTAAGGCTTTCAACCGTGCATCGTCCATCCCATTGGCGGCATATTTTGACTGGTCACATTCTTCACCATGAGTGTGGAAAGCTTCCAAGTAGGTCAGTTTCATAGCAACTTCTGAGTCTCACTCGGAAGCTCTTCTGCGGCACTGGATTCCCTTAAGTTTGGCATTCCCTTTTCAGGCGAACAGGGGCCATACTTGTCATAATTTGTCCTAAATAGCAAAATTGTGTTTCAACAAAACCAAGGATCCCTGCGCTCTCATCAGAATCATGGGTTGAAGTACCCCCGGATGATTGCTCATCAGACGATTCGTATCGCCAAGCTCCAACCCGTTGCACAGTCCTTGATGAGCGCAGCTCATCCTTCTCGTCATCCCACCGGGCGATGACCGGCATTTGATGGAATTGGCAGGGTGTGCAAAAAAAGGTCGACCCACGAATGCAATGATTGACAGGTTCTTATAATATATTAAGATACTATGTTTTGAGACATGTTGACGGATGATATATGTATTCCTGTTCCTTTGGGCCTGCCTAACGACAAATGCAATGTGACATCACCCAACAATCACACATTCAAAAGAAAGGAGTACACTGCAATGCAGTTTCGGAGGTGCTGTTTTCTTCTGGGCGCCACGGGGCGGTGATGACTCAGACAGTGTCCAAATACTCCCGCATCTTGTGTGGGTGCACAGATCTCAGCAACACCCCAATAGCCACCAGAAGCGGTCGCACTGCAATGCCGTTTCCTGCCAGCTTCATCAGGGCCTTATTTTGCTTAAAACCCAGATTTGTTCCCCAGTCAAATCCATGACACGAGCATGTGCATCCAAGCTACCCTGTCACTGAAAGATTCCAATTTCAGAGCATGGATCGGGAGGCCCATGAGTAGAAGTGCTTCTCGGCCTCACGTCAGGATCATGGAGTGAGGGTCAGAAGGAAGGATTGGCAGCTGAGGGAGGCACCGCAGAGGTACCGATTCTTCTTCGCAAGATAGAATGAGCCATTGGGCCTGAGCATCAAACAATTGATTGGTGTACCTCGCGTTAAGACATTCCATGAGCTTCACTCAGGCCAGGTTACGTAATGCAAGGGAAAGGTGTTGCCCTTTTCTGGATGATGTTCATCCTGAAGATCGATTGACTAGTGTTGGCACATAGGAACTGTCCATCTGTCAGCGCGGTAATCTTGTCCAAAGCCTCGGATGCCAGTCCGTTTTGGTAGAGATGGATCAATGAGAATTGAATACTTGGGTTGTGCCTAGACGCATCCAGCTCACGATGGGTGGTGATTTGATGAGCTGCTTCAGGGAAGGCTCGGCGAAAGGATCCCCGAATTTGTGCGGCCTTCTTGTCAACCTCAAAGGGATGAGGGGTTCCAACTCATTCTACTTAGAGGCAGCTGAACAGTTTCTTTTTTTGAGGCTGCGACGAAGTTCTTGCGGACAAACTTTCTGTGGTGCTGTACCCATTTTGCCTGTAGCAGTTTCCTTGGTACCAAAGACCGACAAATCATTGTTGATTAGCTGCAAAGAACTCAAAGATCCAAGTTTCCCTTTCTTCAGGTTTCTTGCACTGCGTTCTGCTCTCTTGTTCATGCTTTTGACCACCTCTGGATGGCTGTTGGGAAACAAGAGGCTCATCCTTAATTCGGACAACTCAAACAGAATAGCGGCTGGATGCATGTTGGGCACTGCTGCCAGGGCACCAGTGGCACACCCGTGGTAGCTTCATATTCGAGATCACTTCGTTTGCATAAGCGGTGAGATCACACGCAGCTTTCTTCAACATCAGCTCCTTCCTCACGAGCAAGATGTAGCATCGGTCGCGTGCAATGGGGCAACCGAAGTCTTTCCTCAAATCACGGGGCTATCTTTGCAAAGAAACCACATACCAATCAATACATTCCAACCCCTTGTTCACACGTGTGTCCAAGCCACGCATTGAGCCGGAAGAGAGCAATCGTGTACCTCAAAGGGTGGAGCCACACAGTGAAATGCCTTCTATGTTTCACAAAGCGACGTGTCAAAGCAATGTGTTAAAAGTAGCTCTCGATGCAGGAGATCACGAATTTCATCCCAAACTCGAAGAAACCCGATGACATTCTCAAGTAGGCCCAACTTAGTTTCGGGCGCATTAGGTATTTGGGTTTGTCCATCCATAAAGGTTCAATAACCCATAATTATATAATATTTATGACAAGTGAAGTTTTGCACTACAGCATACAGTTGGGAAGAGTTCTTGTCGCCGAGCAGTGCAGAGTTGTGGTGAAGGTAGCTGTAGGGAGTACAAGGGAAGCCCGCTGTATACAGGCCCACCTGCCAGGAAAAATAATGGAAAACATCCATCAATGGCTAAACCCGAAGCGCCTTCTTCTTCATCAATGCTCCTTCCACATGGTGAACATCGTTATATGACCTTATTTGATTTGGGGTGCATCAAACAACATTATATTATATACATAAGCAGCCTGTGCGGGTTTTGCCAAGCTACGCCACCACTGGTGGTTCCAGATTCTTCTCCAAGAACTGGCGAGCGCTAGGATCCCGCTCTGAATTGCTCCTGAGTTGAAGACGCCCACAAAAAGATCACAAGTAAGTCAAGAAAGGTAGAATCTTTAGCCCCGCCCTTTTGCCAAGAATCCAGTAGGTCACATGAAACCTCTTTCCCAGCAAAGACCGTAGTGCGAAGAGGGCCGTGTCCATGCCGCTGCCTGAATTATGGACTATAGAAAACACTCTTTTGAATTGTGGGTGATCTATGCCTTTTCATGCCTAGCTGCAGTCTGACATGTAGCCAAACGATCCCCGCCAGCAGGATAGCCACCATTGCAAACCTGGATCCACAGTGAATCTACAAGAAGTAGATTGAACCATATTCAACCCAACTTGCACCTTCACTCCAAGTAACCCAGGGCGTCTGCAAAAGAGGCCCCGCAATCCAGATACTCTCGCTGGCGTTGCGTCAGGTCCTGGCAGACTTAAGACATCTAGAATCTAAAGTAGGCTTTAGTCAGCTCTCCTCTTCATCATCATCTTCATCTGAAAAAAGCGGCAAACTCCCATGGCGGCAAAAGGTTTTGGGCTAGAAATGGTTGCGTGGATGCACGCAACTTGAAGACCCAGTTCCTATTTGAATTCCAGCCGGATGTTCATTACTACTACTACTACTACTACTACTACTACTACTACTACTACTACTACTACTAC